CCTGGTTTCTCCTCCAGTCACTTCCTGGAGGCGTGGGTGGGGGTGGAGATGTTCAAAGGGATTGTGAGGCCTGTTCTTCTGAGAGGGGTCCATTCACTCCACCGCCGGCCCCTCGGGGCCTGTTCCTTTACTTTGGCTCAGAATTGGGAGGCGGAGACGGAGCCTCAGACCCCGCTACAGACAGCAGGGCCTCCTGCCTGAAGAGATCTGCGGGTGAGTGGTGTGTGGGAGGCTCCAGGCTTGGCTGTACCCCCGGAGGGCGCCTCCCAGCCCTGCACGCACGCACACGCATGTCCACACGTGTTTCCCATCACAGCTGTATTTCTTCATCTTTAACAAGGTGCCACATTCCTTCCCCTCTCTGTAAACCAGGAGATCAGAGGCTGCAGGGAGTGGGCCAAGGGGAAGAGGGGCCCGAGAGGAGGGGGCTGGCGAGGTTTACACCCCATCCTCCACACTCTGGCACATGCAGACGTTCTGGGGTCTCTACAGTGCTGCTCTGGAGGCTGTCCTGTGTCTACCATCCTCTGTGGGGTCCTGGGGTTTCCATAAGGCAGTGATGGCGAACCTTTTGAGCTCGGCGTGTCAGCATTTTGAAAAACCCTAACTTAACTCTGGTGCCGTGTCACATATAGAAATTTTTTTTTTATTTGCAACCATAGTAAAACAAAGACTTATATTTTTGATATTTATTTTATATATTTAAATGCCATTTAACAAAGAAAAATCAACCAAAAAAATGAGTTCGCATGTCACCTCTGACACGTGTGTCATAGGTTCGCCATCACTGCCATAGGGGAAGGTCCCTCCTCCTCACATCCAGAGGCCAATCACAGATCAGCACTGGTCTGAGTGACAACTCCGACTCTGTGCCCCTGAGCACAACGGTCCCCTCCCCATTCTTGCCTTCTCTTTCTTCTCTCAACAATGAACCAGGGCTCCAAGGGCGGGTGGAGGTGGAAGCAGCACCAGCCATGGGCCAGGACAGAAGGAAGGTTTGCCTGGACGTCCCTACACCCAGGCAACATTCCCTCCCTTACCCACTCCCCAACCTGGAAGGCCGGGGGCCAGGGCAGTGCTAAGCAACAAATGATCCCAGAGTCCTCCGGGGTTGCCCGCAAATCACAGTCACCCACACAGTCTCTGTCCTTCTGCCTGGTGGCTCAAAGAGGAGACCTCCTGGATTTCTGAAGAAGAAAGGCCACCCCGTCCCCTGGCTCTGGGCAGAGGAAGGACCAGGGCCTGGGTGACCTCGCCCATCCCATGGATCCTGGCAGACCCCCAGTGCAATATCTGCATCCCACAGGCTGCCATGTTCTGTACCTGAGCTCTGTGAGTGTGGAGACCCTGACCGGAGCCCTGGCTGTGCAGAAAGCCATCTCAACCATCTTGGAGAGGGACGTCCTCCCCACGCCCACTGTGGTCCACTTCAAAGTCACGGAGCAGGGCATCACCCTGACCGACGTCCAGAGGAAGTAAGGGACTTCCCTTCCCCTGGGGTGGCAGGGCGGGGCTGGGCAGGGTGAGCTGGAGGGGGTGGCCAAGGTGGTTATGGATCAGTGAGGAAGGCAGAGTCCAGTGTCCGGGACACAGTGGGGTCCATGACATGCTGAGTGACTCCAGGCAAGTCCTCTGCCTTCATTGAGCCTCCCTCCCACGACCTCCTGCCACCAAAGTGTCCTTTCACTGTGACTGATGCAGATGGACTCAACCAGCATTCATTGGTCATTGACCAAGTCTGTCCCCACGGATAGAACATCCACCAGTCACTCTGGCTGACCACTGGGACTCAGTGGGATGCGGTCCTGCCTTCCCTGGGCTCAGGGATTTAGTCTAGAGCAGGAGCCTGGTCCTGGGCTGGAGAAACAAAGATGACCAAGACGTAATTCCTATCCTCAGACATAGTGGGTGGGGAGCAGAAAGGGGCTAGAACACCCTGGGACGGGCTCTTACCAGTTCCCCTTCTCTCCTGCCTCCTCCCAGGGTGTTTTTCCGGCGCCATTACCCCCTCAGCACCCTCCGCTTCTGTGGCATGGACCCCGAGCAACGCAAGTAAGTTCAAGGTTGGACCAAATGGAGAAGGCTGTACAGGGCCGAGGTGCCCGCTGAAGCTTCTGTCTGGCTCTAGATTGGGATCCCAGACAGAGCCTGTGAACCTCAGGGGCCAGGAGCAACAGAAGGAGGGGAAGGCGGGGTACGGTGGGGGTGGGGACACAGCTGGCCATCCTCCCCCTGCTCAGCTGGAGTCCATGGCATGGAGCAAAGCCTCAGTACTCACTACTGCCCGTGTTCCCTCCCACAGGTGGCAGAAGTACTGCAAGCCCTCCTGGTAAGGCCTTCCTGTCTGCTCAGTCAGTCTCCCTGAGGCAGGGCCCCAACCCGACATGGGGAGGGAATTAGAGAAGGAGGGAGGCCCCACCTTCCCTTAAGAGCCCATGGTTTTGATGGGGCAGCACAGACCCTGGCCCTCAGGGAGTCTCCAGTCTGATGGGGGAGGCACGGCTCTGACTTCAGGGACCCTTAATCTGTAGGGAGGCTCCTGTCTGGTGGCCAAAACATGTCCTTGCTCTCCCCACTCTGATGGGTAATGCACAGGTCCTGTCTGTGCCCAGGGGGCCCAATTTTCAAAATGAGGAAAACCCAGATCTTGAACACAGGGATCTCCCAGTCTGGCAGGGGAGACCCATACACCCCCTCCCAGAGAGCTCCCATTGTAGGGAGGTGCCGGGGCCACTTGGCTAGGGAAGGGGCAGGGTGGAGTACTGTGGGCTGAGTTTCCCCCTCCCCACCTGGTGCCTCTCTGGGGCCCCCTCCTCACTCAGGCTGTCCTCTCCCACCAGGATCTTTGGGTTTGTGGCCAAGAGCCAGACCAACTCACAGGAGAATGTGTGCCACCTCTTCGCGGAGTATGACACGGTCCAGCCAGCCTCACAGGTCATCAGCCTGGTGGGTGCCCTGCTGCAGGACACAGAAAGGATGTAGGGGGGCTCTCCCTGCACGTGCTCCCAGATATCCCAAGGGAATTGCTCGTAAGTCCCCTCCACCCCCTGAACAAGTGGCCGTAGCCACACTGATAGACCAATGCATTGAACTGAAGGAGAATGATACTACATTGAAACCCAATATGACCTTCATCAGTGACCTTCATCCAGGCCCCCCCCCCCCAGGCCTCAGTTTCCTCATCCATGAAAGGAGGCCAGTAGACAGGGTCAGCTGTTCTTCTCAGACTCTGGGGGGATCCGAACAAGCTCCCTGTGATTCTGAAGCACACCCTCACCTGAGGACCCCCACGGGAAAACAGCCTCAGAGGACACCTGACTCCATCAGCCTGGACGCTACCGACACAGCAGCCTGAGTTAGAGGCCTGTGCCCCTGTTTCATGGCAAACAGCAGGTGCTGGGTCGGACCAAGGGGCCCTGGCCAGGGCTGGGCTGGGCTGGGAGCAGAAGGATGCAATGATTCCGGGCCAAAGGAGCGATGGACTGACTCTCTTTCCCTCCATAGCTGTTCCTTTCCCCATTTCCCGAAAGACTTGTTGGGCAGCTGTTCCCAGGATTCTCCAGGCCAAGTGGCCATGGCTGTTAGAGCAGCTTAGCAAGAACTTGCCCCTGTGGGCAGAGCTGACCCAGCCCCCCTCGCGTCCTTGATGTCTAATCCCCTCTATTGCAAATTTTTGGTAAGCAAGTGTCCTCTCACTGGTGTCACAGCTGCCCTAGTGTTGCTTGTGTAACCCACACCTGTCGTGGACACGGCAAGATCCCTGCTCTCCAGGGCAGACACAAGGGTCAGCTCTCTCTAGTTCTGCCTCAGTTCCACTCTTTCCGAGTCCCCTGCCACACACACACACACACACACACACACATGCATGCACGCGGGCGCCCTCTATAGTGGTGTAGCATCAACTAGGCCTCCAGCCACAAAGAGGCAGCAGAGAGTCAGGAATGCAAACAGTCAGCCACTCCAAGAACCTTGGAGAAACTGGGCGGTCTTTCCCACCCCAATCCCAACCCTCCTCCCACCGAATTCTCCAGAAGCTGGGATGGTTTTTCTAGCAGGCCCGAGGTTCTAAGGAAACCACTCCATGAGGATGGAAAGGGAGGCTCAGAGAAGCCTGCTTTTGCTCCATGAGGAACAAGTACCTGCCCCCTCCCAGCTGTGGATCTTGCCAGCGCATCATTATCTTTGACCAAAGTTGGGCCTGAGGGATTATGATTTCAACCCAAGAAACCAAACTGGACTGAAGCGGCCCTGGGCTGGCGGAACCGGCTGAGACCAGCCCACCCAGCCTGTGGTCGGGCACTGCCCCACCCCCGGAGACTGCAGACTGCTAGACAAGTTTCTCAAGGTCACAGTGCTCAAGTTCTCAAGGTCAAAGCCTGGGGGCTGGCAGAGAGCCCTCCATATACCCATGGGTGCCTGTGTAGCTCCCAGCACTGAAAATAAAGTGTCTGTTTTTGCATAACAGTTGGTTCTGAGGCATTCAGACTGTTCCCCCAGAGATGGAGGCCTGAACAGAGAAGGGAGCCTGAGTTGGCAGGTGGTAGCTGTGTTTTAGAGACCACCTGTGCCACACTCCCTCCCACACCCCTGACCACAGCGGTACAGTCTCCACTGGCATCCACTTCATAAACCATCACTCAAACCATGTCGTGTCCCTCACATGTCCAACACATCTGTTCTTCATGACCCCTTCCCTGTCACTCCGCCAAGAAGACAGACAGACTTGGGATTTCCCCTGTGTCCCGGGGCAGGAAGGGTAGAAACAGGGAAGATAGACTTTACCCATTTGGAAATAATGAGGGCAATGTTACCAAGTAGACAACATTCCAGCTGGGTCTTTAAGGATGAAGAGGAGTTTAGCATGCAAAGAAGGGGAGAAATCAACTTTTATTGGGGGGGTGGGAAGTCCTGTGTACTAAGTACAATGTGAGACACATCATATATGTTTAATTCCATTTTACAGATCAGAAAACAGATTCCTAGGGTTAGCTTGCCCACATTCACCGAGCTAGGAAATGGCAGAGAAAGAGGATTCCAAATCTGTGCCCACTCTACTGTCTCAGCATTCTCAGACAAGTAGGTAGATGAACTTGTGTGTGAAGCACACGGGTATGAAAGGGTATCACGTCTAGTGGAGCTAAGGTACATGGTACCCAAAGGAGTCGGTGAAAGGAATCAGAAGAGCCACACTCAAGGGGCCAAAGAGCCACATGTGGCTCGCGAGCTGCAGTTTGCCAACCACTGATCTAGAACCACTGGTAAGCTGGCTGAATGGAAATCCTACAAATAGAGAAGTAAAGAAGAAAGCACACTGAGACTGGTAGGAGACTCGGAGGCACTGAACGGGCTGGTCCAGCATCCACGTGTGCCACTTTTTTAATTGGGAGGGAGATAGTCCCTGCAGAGGCCGCCCAGAGGAGCAAGGGGTCCCAGCCCCACACCAGACTCCCAGTCCAGGGTCCCAGAGCTAGGAAAAGAAGTCCCTATGAGCAGTAAGAACTAAGAGCTGTAAAAACCAGTGCAGATTGGGGCTCAGTGACACAGAGGCTGCTGGAGACCCAGCTATTTCTCTTAAAAGGCTGGCACCACGAACTGAACTTACAAGGTCATGCTTCCTCTGAGCTCCAGCACCAGGGCAAGGCTCTGGGGAACACAGACACATATGAGGAGGAACTGGATTGTCTGGCATCAGGGCAGCTTTCTCCCAAACAGAGGTGCTTGCAGGGATCATTGTTCCTATCTTGGGATCTCCCTGGTTGCAGGGCTGACTGGCAGCCATTTCTGTTTGCTCCACCCTGGTCATTCCCTAAGACGCCACCTCATCCAATTTACAACCCCCACCCAAGCTGCATGCAGCAGCTTTTGCATATGAATGGCCTTTTCTTGCTCAGGGTAAAATCTCTCAGACAAGCTGCAGCTGGGTCAGGGAATCCCAAATCTATCAATAAAAGACCCAAGACCTGGAACTAGCACCAGCCTGCCTTGCTTCATAGCTGGGCCTCATCTGGGCACTACCAAACCCGATACAAAGAGGAGGAGTCTGCAGATCTCTCTGTAGCCCCCGCTAGGTGGCCCCAGGCAGTGGCTGCCATTGCACCTCCTTGGAGACCTAAGAGCCAGTGTACCCAGTGGTCAGTGTCAGACCATACCAGATTACAACTCTACACATCCATAAGCGACACACTCACGGGGCAGACTCAGTGAGCACCAAAGGGGTGTCTCCTGCACAGCAGCTCTCCCACTGTAGCCACAGCTGGTCCTCACAGCCAATTGGCCTGGAGGCCAATTTCTCCCAATGACACCAACAGCAATCAAGTCTCAACTACAACAAGACTGTGCTCACAGCCCACAAAGGGGTGGACCTAGAGCTCCCAGATCAGGTGACTAGGTAGGCTGAGCCACTCGGCCCTATAGAACACCTACTACACAAAGCCACTCTACCAACTCAAGGAGACATAGCAACTCTACCCAATACATAGAAACAAACACAGGGAAGCAGCCAAAAGGCAGAGACAAAGAAAAATGTCACAAATGAAAGAAATGAATGAAAGAAAGCAAACTACTGGATATAGAGTTCAAAACAACAGTTATAAGGTTACTCAAGAATCTTCTAGAAACCTCCAAAAAAATGGAAAAGGACCAGTTAGAAAGTAAGCATACACTGACTAAAATAAAGAATATACAGGGATTCAACAGTAGAGAATCAAATCAATGATTTGAAATATGAGAAAGCCAAAAAACACACAACCAGAAGAGCAAATAGAAAAGATAATCCAAAAATATGAAGAATAGTGGAAGGAACCTCTGGGACAACTTCAAGAGTACCAACATCTGCATTATGGGGGTGCCAGAAGAAGAGACAGAGCAAGATATTGAAAACCTATTTGAAGAAATAATGACAGAAAACTTCCCCTACCTGGTGAAAGAAATAGACTTACAAGTCCAAGAAGCACAGAGAGTCCCAAACAAGAGGAACCCAAAAAGGACCATACCAAGACCCATCATAATTAAAATGCCAAGGGCTAAAGACAAAGAGAGAATCTTAAAAGGAGCAAGAGAAATGCAGTTAGTTACCTACAAGGGAATGCCCATACAACTGTCAGCTAATTTCTCAACAGAAATTTATGCAGGCCAGAAGGGAGTGACAAGAAATATTCAAAGTGATGAACAGCAAGGACCTATAACCAAGATTACTCTACCCATTTCCCCTGGTACTAGTCTACTCAGGCTATCATAACAAAATGTCATTGACTGCATGGCTTAAACAACAGATATTTGTTTTCTGGGTTCTGGTGAGAGCTCTCTTCTTGGCTTGTAGACGGCCACCTTCTCACTGTTCACACAGCTTTTCCTCAGTGTGTGTCCTGGAGAGAGATCTCTCCCTTCTTCTTATAAAGTCACTAATCCTATCAGATTAGGAACCCACCTTAGGACCTAGGTTCCCCTTAATTACCTCTTAAAGTCCTATCTCCAAATACAGTCACACTGTGGGTTGGGGCTTCAACATGTGAATCTGGGGGACACAGCTCAATCCATAGCACCCCTACTCCTTCCCCAGCCATGTTCCCACCCCGACAGTCCCAGTGCTGACCAGGCTTGGCCCTCAGCCCACAGCAAAGCAGACCTTCTTCCTGACTCTGGGCCCTTGGAGCCAGCCAGGAATTGTATTATAACTCTGTTTTCTGGAAGGCGGCTCAGCCTTTACCCCTCTCCAGCCGGATCTTGCCAAGGAGGGCAAGTGGAGCTTGGCTTGGAACAGGCCTCTGGGAAAAGGAGACAAGCCAGGAGGAGGGAACCAGATGGGGAGGAGAAGGGAGAGTGTCACTCACATGCTCATTCATTGATTCACCAACTATGTGCTGAGCTCCCAGATGAACAGCGGATGAGGCACCCCAGGGTTGACCGGGAGATGGAGGAGAGCCTGAATGTGCCCCAGGAGAGATGCTCTGTCCTCCACAGCATCAGATTTGACACCTGGTGAACACTGAGGCGGGACATATCCCTAGTTCAGCTCACTCCCACTTGTGCATGCACTTGTGCACACACGCACACACGCACGCACATGCACGCGCACACCTTCCATCTTCTGCATCAAGAGTGAGAAGCCTTTATAGTCAGCCAGATCTGGAAGCAGGAACCTGTGCCATTGACCAGCTGCCTGATTTAAGGGCAAGTCACTCCTCTGGACATTGGGCCTCCATTTTCCCAATTGCAATACCCACCCCATAAAATTATGGTTACGGGCCCTGGCCAGGTAGCTCAGTTGGTTAGAGTGTTGTCCCAATACTCCAAGGTTGTGGGTTTGATCCCCAGTCATGGCACATACAAAAACCAACCAATGAATGCATAAATAATTGGAACAACAAATCAGTGTCTCTCTGTCTCTCTCTTTCTCTCAAATTAATAAATAAAAAATAAAATAAATTAAGGTTATGGGAAGCCTAAACACACACTGGACACGAATGCACTTTGTGGCCTACATAGTACAAATGTTTGCTATGCAAAAAAAAGCACTGCTATCTTTCACTAAGCACCTAAGGCAATGCCAAGTACCATGCCCCTGGAACGGGAGCTCTGGGGGGAAAGCGACTCACCTCGTTCACCACTGACTCCCCTGAAACAGTGCCCGGCACACATCAGGCCTCTTACAGCTAGTGTTTGTTAGGAGCTTTGCCATAAGTTATCTCATTGAATCTTTTTTTTTTTTAAATATATTTTATTGATTTTTTACAGAGAGGAAGGGAGAGAGATAGATAGTTAGAAACACACCTAAGGCAATGCCAAGTACCATGCCCCTGGAACGGGAGCTCTGGGGGGAAAGCGACTCACCTCGTTCACCACTGACTCCCCTGAAACAGTGCCCGGCACACATCAGGCCTCTTACAGCTAGTATTTGTTAGGAGCTTTGCCATATGTTATCTCATTGAATCTTGACAGCACGACCTAAGTACTATTATTTATCCTCCTCTGATGGCTATGGAACTGTGGGTTAGGTAATTAAGTCAATGTCCCAGTTTCCAACCATAATAAGTGGTGAAGTGAGATTTGAAACCAAGCAATCTGGACCCAGACCCATGGCGAGAATGATAAGAATGATGACATTTGGAGCTTATTAAACCAGAGGTTTAATCCCCTGCCTCCGCCATATGCACCAGGATAGGGTCCTCTGCCCTCCCTTCTGGTGTTTCTGCCCAACTCCTCTTCTCCCCTCAGGGATCAGGTTCCCCGGCCCACCCTGGTGCCCACCTCCGGCTGCTCAGGATGCTGACAAAATCACCGCACACACACCCCTTCTGCCTGGAAGGGGGCACATCTTCCTTTGTCATCTTCCACCTAGAATCTTCCACCAGGACCTCCTTCCTTCCTCCCAAACGATAGCCCTTATTACTTAGTTTCCCCTTTCTGGTGCCGAAAGAATCCTGTTCCACTTGGCTGCCCCACTGGGAGATAGTACAAAAAGGACA